TCCTGAGGGGAGACTCATTATGATCAAATCAACCCATATGTATCAAGCTCCGTGAACAAGGCACAGTACCGGGGCATGGGAGTCAGGGGAGGGGCAGGGAAGCATTTCTTTAGGGTGGACCAGGAGGGCTCTGAGTTGGTGATAATGCGACAGAAGCCCAAATAAGGAGGAGCCAGCCACATGAATATCAGGAAGGTGCATTTTTGACGGAGGGAACAGCAAATGCAAAGGTCCTGTGGCAGGAAGACGTCAAGGACAATAAACGAGAATTGTATGAGATGAGGACACAGCCACAGTTGGGGCTCAGGTTTTGGCAAGAGCCTGACTTAAGGGGTCTTTCTAGGCATGTGGCTTTGGGCAAGCATTTAGTTTTATTTAAACATTTGTTATATCCTGGTCACTCTGAACCACAGGTAAGAGTTAAATCTTGGTCTTACTTCTTCCCAGCTGCGTGACCTTAAGCAAGTCATTTTCTCTCTCAGCATCAGTGCTCCCATCTAGGTCCTGGGTTGCTGGGCTCTCCCAGCCTCTCTGAGGATCGGGATGGCCCCCGATGTGAAGAATCAGCCCAGTCTCTTCCTAAGGACTCCACCTGGAAAAGATGAGAAGGGCGAGCGTAGGATGGGATGGCGATGGCCGGCATTCTTCCTGAGCACCGGGCTCTGTGCTAGGCACTTTGCACGCACCCCGGTGCAGTCTTCATCATAATCCTCCAGGGAAGGTGGCAGTATGGTCATTTTTCAGATAAAGAAACTGAGGCTCAGAGAAGATCAGCTTGCCTGCTGATCCCCGAGTCTATTGCCCTGCCACTCCTGTGCTTTCACGGTGTTTTGTTGCCTCTCAGATCTCTAGGAACCCAGAACGGGTAGGAAGAGCCCGCTCATGCCTTTTTTGTCACCTGCAGGCCTTTGCACAAACTGTTCCGTCTGCCTGGAGCACTCTCTTCATTTTACTGTGCAGGATTCGGAGTTTAGGCACGGGACTTCCTCTGTGACCACCACCCTGGTTAAGGTAGCAGACACTTTCTCTTAGCTCTGTCTCTTTATGCAGCTTATGCGCTTCATCATCAGGGCACAACAGAGCTGTCGTGGTTGCCTTCTAGAAAGCCACTGTCCACAGCTTTGTGGGCTAAATTCCCCTCTTTGGGACCCCACAGCATACATCATGCCCTGTTATGATTGTCTGCTTTGTCACCTGTCAGCTTGGAGCTTCCGGAGATGATGATGAATGTGTCTTCTCACCTTTGTGCACGGTGTGTGGTCCTCAGTGAGAACACAAGAGGTTCACATTGAAGGAGTGATGACCCTGGGGACTTTTTAACCCACGGGATGCGGCCCAGGAGCACGTATGTGTCCAGTGGGAAACGTAGGGTCCCTTCCTTCCCGGCAGGCGTTTCTGGTTCCCTCCCGGTGCCACGCACCCTGATGGCTTCAGCGCTGAGCCAGGTCCACCAAAAATAGGCCTGAGTTCCAGCTCGCCCACACAGGGCATCACCCGGTCCACACCCCCCCTCTGCATCCCCCCTACTTACCTGATTATCTCATTGATTTAAAACATAAGTATTCCCAAACATCTCCTCTGAGCCAAAAAAGCTGACTACCTCAGTCGTTAAAATTCACATTAAAAACCCCAGCGAAGGCATCCTGGTTGTGTGTGTGAGTGATGAGCCGGCCCTTCTGACGCTCCCCGCCCAGCAGAAACAGCGAGTCCAGCCCAGCGTGTGTCCTGAGGTGTGAAATGGGCCCTGGACAGGAAGAAAGGCTCATTAGGAGCCACTGACTCGAGTCTGTTCTCCTTCACCACCTCGAGCTGGCCCTACTTCCTGTCCGCCCCCACCCCCCCGCCCCCCAATCCGTGCCTGCTCCTGGACTTGGAAAGGAAATGAGAGGAGGATTCTGGGAAAGGTGGAGGGTCTATTTTTTCCTTCAGGCTCCAAAACATCTCCACAGGCATGTCTATCTAGATGCCAAGAAGCTGCCAGAAGGAAGAAGGAAAAACAGTCTCCCAGATCTAGAGTTCAGACCTCGTAAAACATTACAGCTAGTGTTTACAGAGTGCTTGTCATCCGTCAACTGGCCTGAGCCACCATGCAGCTTATCCGCCATCACTCATGGAATCTCCCGGGGACTCTAGATTTCTCATTTTATAGATGAGGAAATCGAGGCTCAAGAGATGATGTGACTTGCCCAAGGCCACAGGCTACTGAGAAGTAGAGTCAGGATTCAATTCCTGGTCTAACCCCCAAACCTCATCACATTGGGGGAGACCCAGAGATGAGGGTGGCCTGGCCGGCTGGTGGGGGTACACTTTTCCGGCGGATTCTCGCTGCTAGACGGCACTCCTGAGTTATACAAAGTCTTCACTCGGCCCAGACCCTAGCCTCACCCCCTTTACCAGTGCATACTTCCGCTGTGCTCCAGGCACTGGACGCCTAGGGGACCAGATGCCTCCCCTGCCCTCCAGATGCTCAGAACGTCGAGGGGTCAGGACAGGCTGACCGGCGCCACGATGTTCTTCCTGTTGTCACTGATGCACGTCAAGCGAAACGGCCAAAAACCTACCTGGCTCCCTGTCCACTTCGTCTGGGGTGAATAGTGGCTTTTAACTTGAGATCCTCAGCGGGTCTCTATCCCCCATGAACTGGGGTGCAGGGTTGACTGTGGCTCTGGGGGATGTGGACCCCAAGCACTCATCGGGCTCTCAAAACAATGACAATGTATTTCACTGCATGTAAATCATACCTCAATAAGAAAAAAATTTTTTTTTTTTAAATGAGAAACCATGGCAGGGAGGAACAGGCATGTGTGTGAGGCC